GAGGAGAAGAGTAAGTCCGAATCTCTGCCGATGTCTGCGATTCCCTGTTTAATCTGCCTCTTCTTCGTCTTTGCCTTGCAGCCTATCGCAACTGGATGAACTCGATGGGCGTGGCGCCGTACGTCAACTGGCTGTACTCGGATCTGGCCGACGGCCTGGTCATCTTCCAGCTGTTCGATGTCATCAAACCGGGCATCGTCAATTGGAGTCGCGTCCACAAGCGATTCACCCCGCTGCGCAAGTTCATGGAGAAGCTGGAGAACTGCAACTATGCCGTTGATCTGGGCAAACAGTTGAAGTTCTCGCTGGTCGGCATCGCTGGACAGGATCTGAACGATGGCAATGCCACGCTCACGCTGGGTATGTAAAGAGCAGGACGAGAGATAGTTGTATAGAGAAGTAGCGAAGCTTTGTGAGAGAAAGATAGAAGAAGAGAGATATAGAGATATGGAGATATAGAATGAAATAGGGAGAAAGAGAGAAGAGAAAGGGTGGAATAATTATAGAGATATAGGAATATGAAGAGATAGATATATAGAGAGATAGAGATATGTAGATATAGAGAGATATAGACATATAGATATATGTAGATAGATAGAGAAAGATARGGAGAAAGAGAGTGGGTCAGAGAGTTGGGGAGATACAGATATTGAGACATAGATATATAGAGATAGAAATATAAAGAGAAGAGTTATAGAGAGATAGACATACATATTTATGGAAAGAAAGAACTATGGAAATATGGATATAAAGAGATGGAGCTATAGAGATATAGAGATTGACATATAGAGAGATCTTTCCCTATATATATAGAGAGATATAGAGATTGAGATATAGATAGATCTTTATATAGATATAGAGATTTAGTGCTATAGAGACATATAAAGAGCGATAAAGACAGATAGTGAGAAAGAGGGAAATAGAGATATCAGTTTATAGAGGTATAGAGATAGAAATATAAAAAGAAGACTTATAAATAGATAGAAATATGGAGAAATAGAGATATAGAGAGATATATGGAGATAATGAAGAGACAAGATGGAGCGATACAGATATAAGTATATAGAGATAGCCAAAGATAGGGTCACAGGAAACTTTTCGTAAAGTTGTAGTAGAATTTTAACGTATATAATTATTAAAATAAGCTAGAGATTTGCATGTTATATCATGTTCAGGCTATAACCTAAGAGCATATGTCTTGTTAAAGGTTATTAAAGATGGGAATGTATATTCTCGCCGAGATAAGTCTAGGATCCAATCATGTCCTTTTGTCCAATCGCCTGAGAGCAGTGATCTTATACACTGCTAAAGCTTGAGACTTGAGTAGAATAAGTTGATAATGTTTCATCTTTGATTCTATATTCCTAGCTATCCCATATTGTCGTCATTCCAAGTTTATAGTACAAATTCTAGAGCATTTTAGATTTTTATATTCAAATATATCAAAGCACAAACTCTAGGCAGGGTATTTAACAGTCGGGCATTAGTTCGACTTCTATTGGGCTAAACTGAATTGATGTTACTGAGCGTCTAGGCGAGCTCTAACCCGTTTTCCCGTTTCTTTTGCAGCTCTGATCTGGCAGCTGATGCGCGCCTACACTCTGTCGATTCTCTCCCGGCTGGCCAACACGGGCAATCCCATCATTGAGAAGGAGATCGTGCAGTGGGTGAACACACGCCTCTCCGACGCCGGCAAGCAGTCGCAGTTGAAGAACTTCAATGATCCAGCGATTGCCGATGGCAAGATCGTGATCGACCTCATCGATGCCATCAAGGAGGGCAGCATCAACTACGAGCTGGTGCGCACCAGCGGCACACAGGAGGTACGTGGACGCAGCTAGCCAATGGCCAATGGGAATTCACAATATGCAATATTCAATATTCAATATTCAATTGAAATTTTCTGCTTTCAGGACAACCTGGCCAATGCCAAGTATGCCATATCCATGGCGCGCAAGATTGGCGCCCGTGTCTATGCCCTGCCCGAGGACATAACCGAGGTCAAGCCCAAGATGGTGATGACCGTCTTTGCCTGCATGATGGCGCTCGACTATGTGCCCAACATGGACAGCGTTGATCAGAACAACCACAACAACAGCAACAACAGCAATTGAATGGCATCAACAACAGAACCACCACCACCACCACCACCACCAACAACAACAACAGCAACAGCAACAACTCAATTACACCTACAACAAAACAGCAACAACAAATTGTAAAAACAACAAACGGAAAGCAATACGGACGGAATGTGTCTTTGCCGTAATCAACCTGAAACTAACTAAAGCAAAAATTCGTGGCGCAACAACAACAACAACAACAATCATCATCAACGAGCTGCAAATTGTTCTTGTAACGTTCTTTTAGAATTTTTTTTTTATTATTATTATTATTATTGTATTATTTTTTTGCTATTGTAATTAAGCGTAAAAAGTTAACACAAGAAAAAACGAGCGAAAATCTTAAAAAAAAAAAAGAAACAACAACAACATCCCCCCCCACACACAACACCTTTTGTGTTGTTAATTTATATATAACTATATATACTAAATGTGTATATAAAAAATATGTCTACTTTTTTTTTAACATAAATGTATTGTTTAATTATATAAACTAAAAAAAAAGAAAAGAAAAAGAAAACAACAAAAACAAAACCTTATTTTATAAATAAAGGTTTGGCCTCTTCTGTTTACGTCTACGATTCGGCGCCGAGTTGAGCGTGCAAGAAACATTTGTAATAACAGTAACTAAAATATATTGTAATATATACATACATACATATATCGATATGTGCGCCTATACATACATACAAATACTAAGCATATATATTTATACACATAAATCTATTTTTGCATCTAGAGTTTGCCTGAGATGAAAAGAGCTAACTTCATTCTACTGCTGCTACAAATTGCTTTGTTTAATCACAAACATACATACATACAGATATCACGATAGATATATGCATATAGTTGTGTATATACATCCTCTTCAGCTACGTATTAGAGTGAGATGGCAGACACACACACAAGCAGTGAGCGAGAGAGCAATAGCCGCCACAATCGAGCTTTTATTTGTATACTCATTCACGTAAATGAAATGGGTATATTAGTTATATGTGCTATGTCCTTCCGCTTGTCTGTCTGTCCCCTTGTCCATGCGTCTATGCGCTAGATAGATTTGAAATTGCTCTAAAAAAGTGTCAAGATTTTTCCGATACGCCCACTGTGGGGGCGTGAAGAGCTACAGAGTTGAAATTCGGAATATAAGAATATATTCGCGTTGACAATTCAAGCATATATCTATAGGGGCGTGGCAAAAGCTTATATAGTTCTAGATCTAGAGATGGTGACATCCTCAATCGCCTTGTAAGATATGTATATGTACACAATCGGGGGCGTGGCAAATCGGAAAATGCTTCTGAATGGTCGTGAATGAGTATTCAGCAGTCGGTAATGGCCGACTGCCAGGCTCTCACTGGATTTTTGTGTTTTCCTAGAGCAATGAGGCCAGCAGACAGACAGATCAGAAATGTGGAAATCAGAATTTTATAATAACGATGTATTAGAAAAGGCAAAAAGTAAATGAATAAATAAAGCAAACAAACGAAAACAAAACAGAAGAAGAAGAAGAAGAAGAAGCAAGAAACCATATTCGTTGACATTTCATTTGATTGCACAACAAATTTAACTGCTAATTTAAAAATGTTCCCGCCTTTGCTTTTATGATTCGAGTGGAGCTATGTGAGGCGAATCGCCGTTCTGTGAGCACAGCAATTATATATGGAATGCAATCTCGAGTCGTAAGCACTTTTCGCCAGCTGCTCCAAAGGGGGGCAGGTGTCGCCACCCAATCACATACATATATGATAGACATATAGGGTGTATATAACAATTATATATACATAAATTGTCACACAATCTGAAATCAATTATTGTTGCCAATCGCATTCGCCTGGCCCTGATAAGCGCCCTCACGTGGATCCAGCCAACGGCTTATCTAACTAATGTGATCTCAGTTAATAATTTTTTTTCTTTGCTTTTTTGTGTGCAAAGTCCATGCGTCATAAAGGCTAAATGCTGATCAGCAACGTTAAGCTGAGGTAATTCGAAAGAGAGAGAGAGAGAGAGAGAGAATTTCAGATTTAAGGAAAATAAACTTGGATTATAACAGCAATGAAGATGATCTAATAAGAACTATACCTGGAGAGGGACCACCTCAGTCTACGCATAAATATCTCTGAAGATTTCTGAGCTGGAGAATTTCGGAATACAGAGAATTAGAATCGGAAAGAAGTTCCTTAAACTATACTTAAAGAGCGGGACCTCCTCAGTGTTAAGACTGAGATATTCTTATTTGTAAACAAAATTATATACATATTTTTATATAGGTTTTATATAGGTTTTCAAGGTTTTTAATTTTTTTTT